GGCCAGAAGAGGGCATGAGATCCCCTGGAACTGGCGTTATAGATGGTTGTTGGTAGTCATGTTGGTGCTGGGGATAGAACCTGGGTCCTCTGGAAGAGCAGCCAATGCTTTTAACCATTGAGCCATCTCTCCATCCCCTAAAACCTTAGAAATTCTGATGCCACTTCATGCTGAGGGTTATCACTTCCTACCACCAGCAGTAGTGTTCAGATACCATCAGAACATAAGGTAATCCAACTCCACAATCCTTTTCTGTGAGTTTTCCAGAGTTTCTCTTGGGACCAACTGTCTCAAGGGAAAGGGAGAGTGACTGTGAGTCATTGAGGATGGGGGCGGTCCTTTCTTTGTGAAGTCAGTTGGTTACTATAGAGAGTGAGACAGCTCTGGAGGAACGTGAAGCTGAAAGGTGTTGAAGTGACATTAAGCCATGTCTGATCCAAAGGCATATCACAGATTTTCTTTCCAAAGCAGGCTTCTTCCATTTGCATTTATTGATGGAATGTTGATGGACTGGTCTGGTTCTCCTTCAGCATCTTATTTCATGCTATGCTTTCTCTCCTGAGTGCTTCCTCTGTTTTCTCTCTTTGGCTCTGTGGTGTGGATGTGTGTTTTCTTCAGGCTGCTTCACTGCATTTGTGGTAATTTACCATGTTATTTCTTCTAGAACCACTAGACTTTGTCAGGGCAAGATGTGTCAGATATGCTAAGCTGTGACCTGATGCATGAAAACTGATTCCACACACAAATGCACTCCTGTGTGTTCTACAGTTTTGTTTGTACTCTGCATAGGAATCTTGACAAAGTCCATTTTGTTCATTGAGAGAGAGAGAGAGAGAGAGAGAGAGAGAGAGAGAGAGATTGATATTGTGTTTGTGATTACCTGCATTGTTTTAGAGAACTATTCCTGAGAGAATTTCAATTTTTGCCTACAGCTAATGAGAAACAAATCTTACATTTACAATTTCACCTGCCTGATAACTGGAAGAAATTTCTATGCACCAGACTTCCCCCCACCCCCTCAGTCTTGCACTGTAACCCAGGATAACACTATCCTGGAACTTATGTAGCCCAGGCTGGCTTTAAAATCCTAATGAGTACACTTACATTCAGGCAAAACACTCATACATATAAAATAAAAACAACTAATAAATAACCTACAACACAATAATATCAAAACCCAATTCATGTGCATATAGATGCAAGATGGCTGATCAGGTAAAGTGCTTGCTGCTAAACCTGACTACCTGAGTTCAATCCCTGGAACCCACATGGTGGAAGGAAAGAGCTGACTCCTGAAAGCTGCCCTCTGACTTCCACATGTGTACGTACTGTGTCACGTGTGTACTCATATATATTCTCTCTTTCTCTCTCTCTTTCTCTCACCAAAATAAATAAATAAACACATAAATGTGGAAGAAATACCCACAGGGCTAGGGATGTAGCTCAATTGGTAGAGTGTTTGCCTAGCACTCCTAAGCCCTGGGTTTGATTCCCAGCACTTCATTACTCCCAGCACCTATGAAATGGAAGCAGGAAGATCAGAAGTTAAAGGTCATCTAATGTTACATAATAAGTTTGAGGCCTGTCTGGGCTACGTGAGACCATATCTAAAACAGTAACAATAGGGACTGGAGAGATGGCTCAGTGGTTAAGAGCACTGGCTGTTCTTGCAGAGGACTTGGATTGAGTTCCCAGCATGAATATGGCGGCTAACAAGAATTTGTAACTCCAGTTCCAGGGGATCCAATCCCCTCTTCTGACCTCTGTGGGTATTGCAAATCACAGGATCACTTACATACTTGTAGGCAAAACACTCATAAACATAAAAACAACAATAATAATAAAAAGAATAGCCAGGTGTGTGGTGCACACCTTTAATCCCAGCACTTGAGAGGTAGAGGCAGGCAGATCTCTGTGAGTTCAAGGCCAGCCTGGTCTACACAGAGAGTTCCAGGTCAGCTGGGGCTACAGGGAGACCCTGTCTTAACAAAACAAAACAAAAAGAAAGAAAAAGAAAGAAAGAAAGAAAGTATTAAAAAAAAAAAACCTCCAGCCAGGCGTGGTGGCACACACCTTTAATACCAGCACTTGGGAGGCAGAGGCAGGTGGATCTTTGTGAGTTCGAGGCCAGCCTGGTCTACATAGTGAATTCTAGGACAGCTGGGGCTACAGGAGACCCTGTCTCAAAAAAGACAAAAAAAAAAGAAAGAAAGAAAAGAAAAAGAAACTCCCAAAACTCCAGTAACAATAATAAAAGACCAAATAGAAAACATTTTAAAAATATTTCTGCCTCTGTGTTACATAGTCTGCAGGTTGTGCTGATGATCTGAAGTTGCAGAACCTGGAGATAAAGGGTTAGAGTACTTACCTAGCTTGTGAGGCCCTAGGGTCAAGTCCTCATAGAAGGATTAAAAAAAAAATTACCACTAACAACAATCCTCTGTTGCAGTGAAGCTCTTACAGAAAACCCTTGCTGCACAAGCCTCACAATCTGAGTTGAATCCCTGGAAACCATGTACAAGTGGTTGGAGAGAACCAACTGTACACAGAGGGAGGCAGGCAGATCTCTGTGAGTTCAAGGCCAGCCTGGACTCCATAGTGAATCCTGGCCAGCTGTGACGACAGGGAGACTTTGTCTCAAAAAAGACAAAAAAAAAGAAAGAAAGAAAAGAAAAAGAAACTCCCAAAACTCCAGTAACAATAATAAAAGACCAAATAGAAAACATTTTAAAAATATTTCTGCCTCTGTGTTACATAGTCTGCAGGTTGTGCTGATGATCTGAAGTTGCAGAACCTGGAGATAAAGGGTTAGAGTACTTACCTAGCTTGTGAGGCCCTAGGGTCAAGTCCTCATAGAAGGATTAAAAAAAAAAATTACCACTAACAACAATCCTCTGTTGCAGTGAAGCTCTTACAGAAAACCCTTGCTGCACAAGCCTCACAATCTGAGTTGAATCCCTGGAAACCATGTACAAGTGGTTGGAGAGAACCAACTGTACACAGCTGTCCTCTGACCTCCATGTGCCTGCTCTGCCACACCATACACACCCATACTCCAATTGCGCACACACAATAATATTTTTTTCTTTTTTAGATTTATTTATTTTTGAGACAGTGTCTCACTATATACACCCGGGTGGCTTGAAACTATTCATGTAGACCAGGCTGTCCTTGAACTCACAAAGATCAGCCTGCCTCTGCCTACTGAGTACTGGGGTTAAAGGTTGCACCACAACACTGAGTTTTTAGATTTATTTTTAATTATGTGTCCTTGTGGAGGTTTCTGCATATGAGTGTGGGTGCTTGAGGAAGTCAGAATATAGCATTGGATCCCCTGGAGCTGGAGTTACAGGTGGTTATGAGCTGCCCGATGTGGATAGTGGGAACCAAATTTGGGTCCTCTGCAAGAACAGTGTGTGTTCTTAACTGCTGGACCATCTCTCCAACCTCCAAAATAACAGCTAAATTTTTTTTAATGTGTCTAGTAGCTGAAAATTTGAATTATTATTATTATGATTAATTTTGGGTTTTTTAGATTGAGTCTCATACTGTAGCCCTGGCTAGCCCAGGACTTGCTGTATGGTTCAGGCTGTCCTCAAAGTCCAAGCAACCTTCTTCCTTTCTTAGCATCCCAAGTTCTGGAATTACAGGTGTGATCAGCTACACTCAGTAAAGAAAATTTCATTTCTGATGTTATTTCTATTTCTTTATCTAAGGTTTAGGCTGAGGATGTGGCTCAGTGGTTGAGCGCTTGCCTAGCTTGCACAAAGGCCCTGGGTTCTACTTCCAGCACTGCTAAAATATAATAAAATTTATAGAAAGATGAAGACAGTGCCAGTTTGGAGCCACAGTGAGGGGGACCACGACTCAGGAAGGGGACAGAGAAGGGAATGCCAGCCAGGTGGCTATGAGCAGCCTGGGGACTTTTGAAGAGAGAACATCAAATGACAGTTCTACCTAAAGGGTCTTTGTCTTTTCTTCTTGGAACTACAAAGAGCAGCTTGGAAGGCCAGACATGGGGTAGGGCTGATCATTCTGAGTACAATGCATAGGGCCCATCATATTTTTAGGGATCCACAAAAAATATTTCAATTTCTGGGGCTTCAGATGTGGCTCAATTGGGAGAGTGAAGTCTTGGATTGGAGCCCAGCGCTGCATAATGCAGGTGTATTGGTACAGGCCTGCAATCCTAGCACCTGGGAGATAAATTCAGGAGAATGAGTTCCAGGTCATCCTAACTACACAGAGTTTGAGGCTAGCCTAGGATACATGAAACTCTGTCTTAAAGGGGAAATATATATATATAGACGTATATGTATAATATATGTGTATGTATATATTCGTTGTTGTTGCTGTTGTTAAAGGAAAAGGGGCCCTTAAAAACAAAGAGTCTGGGACCACTTTGTGTGGCCATAACGTGTGGGAGGCAGTGTTCAACCTGGACTCAGATGCCTCTCCCTGGTCTCTTTAACGGTGCCACCAGCACCAGGATCTGGAGCTAATAACAGAACTCAAACTTCCCAACAGTTTCCAGGTCCGAGGAGACCCCTGGGTGCAGGCTTAGAAAACGGGCTTGGGGAAGCGGTCAGAAACTGTAGGAAGGCAATGCTATACCCCGAAGATCTGAAGAGGGTGAGCTCCATCTTTAGAAACCCCTGGAATCTGATTCGAATTTCCCAGAGGCAGAGGAACAGGCTCAGAAAGGTTGAGGAACTCGTTTCTTTGTGGTTGATTTGACACTCAGCCCCAGACTCCTTCACAGATCCCTGGAATTCCTCTAGTTGCTGCTGGGCCACCAAAAGGGAAGTTTCTATGCAAAAGATTCTCCTGGTCCTAAGAACTCTTCCCTTGTCTCCATTCCTGGAGCCCCGACTTCCCCTCTGCAGGTAGATGTAGTTTGAGACTCTGATACAGGTCGGCCCTGGTCCTTCTGTAAGGAGGACCATCACACATACACATGGGCTGGCGATCAGGAATGCGGCTCGTCCCCTTTAAGTCTCGCTCGGGAACACCCGGGACAGGCCGCTGAGTTCCGGGATCCGCAAGGAGCGAGCCGGCCTCCGCGCGGCTTCCAGGGTCTTGTTCCCGCGGCGTCCGGCCCCGCGCTCCGGCTGCTTCCAGGCTTTGGGTCCCGGCCTAGAGAAAATGAGTCGTATCTACCACGACAGCGCCCTACGGAACAAGGCGGTGCAGAGCGCGCGGCTGCCCGGGGCCTGGGACCCTGCTATCCACCAGGGGTAGGCTGTGCGGGTCACCGGAGCCCAACCCGGCTGGTATATGCTTACCGCATCCCTGGGGTCCAGGAACCCACTGCTAGCCAGGGGTGGGCCAAGCTAGGAATGGGCCATCCCGTATCCTTAGGCCCTGAGACTCTCCCTGGAGTCTCGGCTGCTGGCAGGGGTGGGCAGTGCCGCGTCCCCCGGGGCCTGGGCTCCAGGCTTTGGATCTGGGTGAAACCTGCTCAGAGACTGGGCGAGGAGTGGGGTGGGGAGGTGAAGGAGAGGTTGGAGGTGGGAGGTAAAACGTGTTGCCAAAGCCATCTCTGGGCCTCCAGTCAGCTCTTCCTGGTTCTCCTGGTCGCCACACACCTGGAAGATAGATACATTTGAAACTCCCGCCTGCATGCACACCCATGGAAGGGACTCCCGAATGGGACTCTAGAGACCGTGTTTGGGTTCCCACCGACCTCGGTCCTTGCTCCACACCAGGACTCTAAACTCCAGCCACTTGTCACACTGCTGTACCTCTGGGCCTTTGCCTCATAAGTGACCAGTGGGTACTGTCACAGGAACGGTGGTGGGAGGGTAGGAGCATGTGGAAGCACAGGCCCTGCACAGGGTAAAGAGCAGGATGGACTGTCCTATTTACAGGCAGAAACACTAACGAATTATGTGAAATAAACCGGCCCAGAAAGACCTGGGATGTGGACTCCAAAGTCCAATTCATAGTGGTTTTCAGGGGAGGTGACCAATGGGTACAGAGAGTTACATGTGGAACAGGTTCTGGGAATCTAATGTGCTGGGTGTGTACATTAATTTGACTATGAATCATTACACAGTGTATACATGCATCAAGTTATTGAGTTATACACCTTGAGTATATACTTCTCAGCTAAATATTTTTAAAAAGAATTTGAGGGGCTGGAGAGGTGCCCCAGCAGTTATGAGCACTGGCTGTTCTCAAAGAGGACCCAGGTTTAATTCCCAGCACTCACATGGTGGCTAACAATCATCCACAATTCCAGTTCTAGGGGATCCAATGCCCTCTTCTGGCTTCCATGGGCATTGCACACATATGGTGTACTTAAATGCAGGCAAAACACTCATACACATAGAAAGAAATAAATAATTTTAAAAAGAATTTGCGTGGAGAGAGTGTACAGAGGCAAGCAGTCTTGGCCCACCCTCTCCCACTATCATCTTAGCTCCACTTCTTTCCCACATCTGTGGTTCCAAAAATGAAAACCCCTGGGTTCTGCTTTTTATGAAAACTAGAATCAGGAATTGGTAAAGGAGTGGTGACAATTCCAGTTCTATTCAGTGTGGGACCCTTTGATCTTGGGCTAGTCCCCAAACTTCTGAGTCTCCAATTTTCCATCTGTAAGGTGATAATAACCATTTCCTTTGGTTGATGACCACCTATGTATGAATGAGTACAGGAATGGGAAAGTGCTTTAAAGTAGACTGAAAGGGGGCTAGAGAGGTGGCTCAGTGGTTAAGAGCGCTTGCTACTTTTCCAGAGGACCAGAGTTCAGTTCCTAGCACCCATGTCTGCAGGCTCAATCACCTGTGACTCCAGTCCAAGGAACCCAATATCCTCTTCTGGACTCTGAGAGCACTTGCACACATGTGGCATGTGTGCACGCATGCACGCACACACACGTAAAAATAGCCAGATGTGGTAGTGCACACCTTTAATGCTGGCACTCAGGAAGCAGAGACAAGTGGATCTCTGTGAGTCTGAGGCAAGACTGGTTTACAGAGTGGGTTCCAGGCCAGGACTACATAGCGAGACAGTTTCAAAAAAAAAAAACTTTAAAAAAAGATAGGTGAAAAAGGAAGATAATTTATTTATACAGCATAGACAACCCTAAATTTGCTTAAATAAAAAGTAGAATTATTTATTTATATGTTTATTTACTTACAGCATTTCACTATGTATTCAAAGATAGGCTTGAACTCCCTTTGTAACCCAGGCTGGCCTCAAACTCACAGCAATCCTCCTGTCTGAACCTTCCAAGTGCTGGGATTACAGGTGTGTGCCATCAAGCCCAACTGTAAAAATGCTTTATATTTAGTAAGTACTTAATAGTTTACAAGCACCTTCCCATTCATGATCCTTTAGGCTAGCATCAGAGGAGCACAATAAAGCAGCTGCTTTTCTTCCCATTCGTGGATAAGAATCCTGAGAATCTGTCTGCAATAACTCCTGGTAGCCCTGAAGAGGGGGCGGTACCTTGGGATCAGCACAGCCTGGGAAGGTTCCTCCTGTCCTTTAGCCTTTGGAGGAATGTGAGTTCCGATGTGGGAAGCAGAGAGGGGTTCCATACCAGGCCTGCTCAGAGCCAAGTAAATAGGAGACTCAGGTGAGCCTTGCTTCAGTTTCAGTGCAGATTCTAGCCTAGGCCATGAAACTTGAGTTGTGTCTCCTTCCTGAGGACAGACAGAACCAGCATTCCTTCTTCCCTTCTCATCTCCAGGGGAAATGGTGTCTTGTTGGAGGGAGAGCTGGTGGATGTATCTCGGCACAGCATCTTGGATGCCCGTGGCAAGAAGGTGAGGCTATATCCCGTATGACATTCACAGGGTTATCGTCGCCCACTAAAGCATTTGAGTTCTTATCCACAAGGCATCTCCTTGTGCAGGGCTCCACCATTGCTAAGACATGGGATCCAGGCTCTTCTTGAGGGGCTCACAGAACAGATGGCTATAGCCAAAGAGGACCAGTAGTAGAAAGGGGACTTTTAGGGCCTTACAGGGCAGCAGTCAGGTTGGAGGACCTGGTTCTTGCAGGAAGAGCCTGGGCCACAGCTGAGAAGACAGACTAGGCCCAAACCATAGTGTAGTCTGAATGTACAGTCTACATGCTGACATCTGCACCTGCAGCTCCCTTGTTGGTGGCCTTCTGTTTTTGCTTCACAGCCTCCCGAGATTGTGTCCTTGCTCTCCACCATCTCAGGTATCCGTGACCACTCCTGGCAGTCATCATCCCACCGTAACCCTGGAGTCCTGTCCGTCTGACTCCATCCATGGCAGCAGCCTTTGCTACCAGCTCACTATTTTCATGCCCAGAGATGCCTTGCCACATTCTGCTCCTTAGCTTGCAAGTCAGCAGGGGGACACACTGATCTGGAGTCCCCAGCCAGCCTGTCCAGGAGGGCTGCACCAATGTGGGGCTGGCCTGCCTCTACTGCCCTGGTACGGGCAGGTGTTCATCCAGCCCCTTTCCAAACTTGCCTGCTCCAAGTCTTTCATTCTGAATGATGCAGAGAGGATTCACCTGTTCAGTCACCAGCTTGGGAGCTGTATCCCCTATCTCTTCTCCCCAGGAGGGGAACCCCAGAAGCCAACTCTTGCCATTTTCTGTAGTGCCCCACGTAGCCAGATTCCTTCTCAACCATTCCTTTTTCTTTTCCACCCTCTTTCCATAACCACCTCCTTCCAGGGGCTCTTAGCTGTTCCACATAAAGGTCCGGCCTGCCCCCATACCTTCTGCTGGCCCCATGAGCTCATTCTTGGCTCCTTGAAACTCATTTCAAGCAGGCTATCTCTGGGTCTTGCTGTGGCCCCCAAACATTTCAGGATTCCTTCTTATCTACCAAAGAAAAGCTGAACTCCAATGGCAGCTCAAGGCCTGTCTAAAACCTATCTCAGTGGCTCTTCTAACCTGAGCTCCCATTGGGCCTCTGCATTGCTTAGATGTGCACATGGCCTCTTGACTTTATGTGCCTGACTCAGGCCCTTATTTCTTTCTTCTTTTTCTTTCCTTTCTCCCTCACCCCTTCTTCCCTCTCTCCCTCCTTCCCTCCCTTCTTTCTTTGAATGGTGAGTTGGTAGCAGAGGCCCAACCTCTTTGAATTTCTTTTATTTATTATTTTTATGTGTATGAGTGTATTGCCTGCATGTATGTGAGTACACCTGTGTCATGCAATGCCCCTGAGGTCAGAGAGGGCTTCGGACTCCCCTGGAACTGGAGTTAAGGACAGTTCATAGCCACCATGTGGGTGCTGGGAATCGAACCCGGGTCCTCTGCAAGGGCAGTCAGTGCTCTTAACCGCTGAGCCATCTCTTCAGCCCCAGGCCCATCCTCTTAATACTGTCACAATGGTGATTAAGTTTCAACTTATGAATTTGTGGGGACTTATTCAGACTATAGAAGGCCCTCCATGACCGTGTTTCTTTTCCCAATTGTGTCTGTTTAGGAATCTCTTTCCTGTCTGTCTCTGTGTGAGAAAGTTTGAGATTGAATGGGGACTGTCATTTTATTTATTCATGCTTTCAGATGCTCATTAATTTCTTTTTTTTTTTTTGACATGCTCTCATGTAGCACTGTCAGGCTTTGAACTCTCTGTGTAACAGAGGACCTTCAATTCCTGGTCTTCTTGCTTCTACATGCCCCCCCCCCCCCAGTGTTGGGATCATAGACATGCACCTATACACTAGGTTTATCCAGTGCTGGGGACTGAACCTAGGGCTTTATGAATGCTACCAACTGAGCTACATCCCCAGCCATGTCTCAGGCTTTTAATGTTCTTCCTATACTCCCGTCCCACAGTTGCAGGTTGCCCTGACCTTTGAGAATTCCCCTTGCTTCATTGTCCCAGGAGGTGATTTCTACTTCTTCAGTCTCTGTAAACAGTTTTTATGCTTGCTTTGATTAGAACAGCTGGCCAACAGCTTTTGCAGTACATGTCTTTGCAAGGCACTCACTCCACCCTTGCAATGTCCCTGAAAGGAAGTATCACATGGTTTCCATGTGATAGGCACAGGAGACTGGGAGTGATTTGCCCCAGTATTACATCTGTGGGAAGGGCCTAGTATCTGTCCTCACTCAGGCCCTTTCAGTGTCCTTTTTCTTTTCTTTTCTTTTCTTTTTTTTTTGAGGCAGGTCTCCCTGTAGCTGCAGCTGGCCTGGAACTCACTCTGTAGACCAGGCTGGCCTCAAACTCACAGAGATCCACCTGCCTCTGCCTCCCAAGTGTTGGTATTAAAGGCGTGCGCCACCACACCCAGCTCAATGTCCTTTCTATGGCACCATGGCAACATCCACTCCTGCCTGGTGGCATTTGGGGTTTCTAGTGCTTGAGTTATGGTTTCTGGTCACTGGCTATGTGGAAGCCTTGGGGTCAGGCCCTGTGTCACCCTGTTGTGGGCATTGTATGGCTTATTATGTGTGGTAGGTACTCCAGTGAGTACATAAATGAATGATTATTTGACTGAGACTATTCTCAGCCTGGACATCTGAGCTGAGGTAGGATTCTAAGGCAGAGGGTGAAGTGGGCAGGTGCTGCATCTCGAGTCCAGGGTGTGTGCTGGGGTTGGGTAAGGGGTGAGGCAGCTCCCTTACCCCCCTCTCTGCTTTGCCCTAGGAGCGCTACTATGTGCTATATATTCGGCCCAGCTGCATCCACCGCCGGAAGTTTGACCCCAAGGGAAATGAAATCGAACCCAACTTCAGCACCACCAGGAAGGTGAACACAGGCTTCCTCATGTCATCCTACAGTAGGTATCCTCAGCCCTTCCTCCCTAAGAGCTTGTGATACTGTGGTCTGTCTGCCTCCTGAGTCTCTTGATGTCCTGGAAAAGTGACTTCTTAGCATGGTTGGCCTTGATGCTGGTTCTGGCATCTGAGCTTCTCCCTCCCTCCAACTTGCTCAGACATTCCCATTGCCCCAGCTTCCTCCTAGGAACCAGGCTGATCTTCCCAACTCCTTTCATTTTCTGAAGTTTTTGTTTTGGGCTCTAACTACCCTTGTGTGAGGAAGTCAGACCAGGCCCCAGCAGTCTCCAGATCTACTACCCAAATCCTAGTTTGTTTGTTGGGGTTTTTCATTTGTTTTTAAGACAGAGTCTCCCTAAAGCCCTAGCTGGCCTGAACTTGCTATGTAGACCAGGCTGGCCTCCATCTCACAGAGATTTGCCTGCCTCTTCCTCCTCAGTGCTGTCATTAAGGGCATGAGCACCACTGTGCCCCACTTTCTTGGGTTTTGTCTCAGTGTGTTTATGCTGTGTATTATTGCTTTTCTTGTTGCTGTGACAAAATAACTGACAAACTGCAGCCTAAGGAAGTATCTTACTTTTCCCATTGTTGCCTTCTTTTAGGTAGGTCTTCCCACCTCAACATGCATAATCAAGATAATCTTTCAGAGGAGTGCTCAGAAGCTAACCTAGTTTAGCTAATCCCTCATAGGCATGCCAAGGCTTTTCTCCTAGGCGATTGCAGATCCTTCAAGTTATATTAACTATGACAGGAAGGAAGGGTTTATTTGGCTCACAATTTGAGGGTATAGTCTGTCATGGCAGAGAAGGTTCTAGCTGTGGCAGCAGTAGTTTGAATCAATTGGTCATATTACATCCTCAGTCAGGAAGCAGAGAGAGATGAATGCTGGTGTTCGGCTGGCTTCCTCCTTTTTCAGCCCTTGGCATGGTGCTACTCACATTCAAGGCAGGTCTTCCTACCTCCGTTAAACCAGAAACACCCTCATAGACATGTCCAGTGGTGTATCTTCCCAATAATTCTAAATCCTCAAAAATTGATTAACCATAACATCCTGCTATAACATATTTAAATTACCTTGAGACCAGGTAATTGGACAAGGGGAATTTGTAGCTCACAGTTCTGGAGGCTAGTAATTCCAAGGTCAAGGTGGCAGTAGAGTCCAGGACTTGTGAGGGGTCTATCTCAGCCTCAGAGATGCCTTTTTATTATCCTTATAAGATGGAAGCATAAAGAAACTACTTTCTACTTTTTCATAAGGGTACTAACTCTATTCATGAGGCCTCCATCCACATGACTTAATCACCTTTGAAAAGCCCAACCTCTTAATACTGTCACAACAGTGATTAAGTTTCAACTTATGAATTTGTGGGGACATATTCAGACTATAGAAGGCCCTCCATGATTGTGTTTCTTTTCCCAATTGTGTCTGTATAGAAACCTCTTTCCAGTCTGTCCCAGTGTGAGAAGGTTTGAGACTGAGTGAGGAGTTGTCATTTTATTCATTCATGCTTTCAGCTGCTCATTAATTCTCTAAACACTGAGTGAGTAGCATCCTGTGCAAGGTCCTGTGCCACATGCTGAGGCTCCAGGAAAAACTAAGACTTGATCCTGCACTGGACATGGTCTCAGTCTAGTAAAGGAGACAGACAGGTCAGTGATTGGAGCTCAGGAGGGGCTCTGAGCTCTAGGCATGGGCAGGGGTACCCTCAAGTAGGGGAACACCAGCACTGAATCCTGGAAGTAATTCAAGGCAGGAATCAGCTGAGTGACAGTGCTTGGAAGGGTATTTCAGAGGGGAATCAGGGTACTAAAGGTATGTGGACTAGTCCATCTGGCGCTGTTCAGGGTGGGTAGCAGGAGGGACATGAAGGTACAGACTTTCAGTCAAGGCTGTAGGGGAACCCTTTAGCTAAGCATTTTGAATAAATGAACAATCGGATTAGATTTGTTTTTAAGATGCCCTGGGTTGGTGAATACAGGGAAACGGTGCTGTCTCCATACTACAGGGCAGTTACACATATGAACCCATAGCACTTGTGACAACATGCAAAAGACCTGTGCAAACCCAAGCCAGATAAAAACCCAGCATGGAAGGGAGAGGTGGGCAGGAAGCCCCAGCCCTAGCTGAGGATTTACTGGATAGCTGCTGGGGGAGCGAGAGTCAGTTTTCTTTAAGGGTGTGACACCTGGTAGGTTGACCAGTCTCTAGGGGATGGACCCACACCCAAGAACATTTGGGGAACACAAGTTAAATTTGATAGGCCTTTAGTAAAAGAAAAATAATAATAGAGGACATGAAGTCAGGAGGGTGTAGTAGGGTGGGGGGAGGGTAAAGACAGGGGAGGGGGGTCTGAATATGATCAAAATACATTGTATAGAATTCTCAAAGAATCAAGAAAAGTAATTTTTTGAGACAGATTCACTATGTAGCCCTGGCTAACCTGGAACTTGCTATGTAGACCAGCTGGCCTTGACATCATAGAGATCTGCCTGCCTCTGCCTCCTGAGTGCTGGAACCAAAAGTGTGTACCACTATACCCAGAAAATGTTTTTTTTTTTTTTTTTTTGAGACAGGATCTCCCTGTAGCCCTAGCTGGCCAGGCACTCGCTATGTAGACCAGGCTGGCCTCGACCTCACAGAAATCCACCTGCCTCTGCCTCCTAAGTGCTGAGACTAAAGGCCTGTGCTAAGAACCCCAGCCAAATGTTGTGGGTTTTTTTGGTTTTGTTTTTAGAAAAAAATTTTTTAAGTGAAAAAAAAAGGAGGGACCAGGTGTGGTGGTGCATGGCTTTAATCCCAGAAGAAGCAGGTGGACCTCTGTGAGTTCCAGGTCAGCTGGTACTACACGGAGACCCTGTTCTAAAAATAATTTAAAAAAATGTTTTTTAAAAAAGGAAGCCCTGAGAAGGTGACTAAACTGAAGATTAGGAGGACCATTAGGAAGCTGCTAGGGTAGCTAGGATGGAAACAGAGGACCCGGATGAGGGGCATGTCAGGGGGGATGGAGGCCAGTGTTGTCAGTGTTAGACTGGCTATGGAGAAAGAAATGGAAGTCAGGGTGATTCCAAGGACTGGCCTTGGAAAAGCACAGGTACAGGGGTAGCAAGCTTAGAGAGAAGAGCTCTATTGGGGCATACTGAGTCAGAGTTGCTGGTTATGCTTTGATGGGACTCAGAAATCAAGTTCTAGAGCTCAGGGAGAGGGCAGGGCTAGTCACACCTATGTGGGAGTAGTCGACACAGTGAGAAGCTGTGGAGAAGGCAGGCAGGCATGCGTGCAGGAGGTTGTCCTGGGGAACAGCAAGAGAATATGGATGGGGAGAGGATCACTGGAGAGGTCTGAGGTCTGAGAGAGGCAGGAAGGTGAGATGTACCACTGAAGTCCAAGGAAGCCAAAGTGAGCAGGGTTAAGGAGGTAGCAGTAGGGCCCCTGTTGTAGCCCAAATAAGAAGTGGAACTAGGAGGACTGGCCAGATAACAGTGATAGGACCTGTGGCCCTAGGGCCGGGGCAGGAGCAGAGGGTGTCAAAGCATTCTGTAGGAAGGCTTTTGAGGAAGGATCTGAGATGGGGGAGGTGTGAGGTCCCCAAAGAGGTGTGGGAGTATGTCTGGAGCCATGATGGTGGACCAGACTTGAGGCAGGAGGAGTGACATTCTGTCCTTTGAGACAGGAAAGGTGAGGTGTCTTATTGTAGGAGCTAAATTGACAGGTGGAAGGTGTCAGGGGGATAGAGGCCTTACTGGTTGGCTTATCTTTCAGAGTCAACGAGGTACTTTGTCTAGAATTGGTAATAAGGGTAGAGAATGGAGCTCTGGTGAGCAGGTATCTAGAGACTCCCCCAGGGTGTTCCTGATAGCCTGGCCCACATCGTTATGCAAGGATGGAATTTGGTCAGGTATTCTGGTTGGCTGGGTGTCCAGCAGTGTGGTCACCTAGGAGGCGGATATGGAGAAGGCAGTTTTTTGGACAGGCTCTGGGGTTGCTGTGCTGGGGGTTGACTATGCCTTTTGGAGGTCTCCAAGTCTGACAAGTACCCACTCCCCTGTGAGTACCTCTTCTTCCAGGTTTAAGACTTGGATTCTTCCCTGAGCTGCTGAGTTCTGCCAGGGCCAGCCTGTGTAGGCCAGTAGAACATCTGAGGACCATAAGTTTGCTCCTAGTTCTAGCAGATCCCAGCCAGCCAGAGAGATCCCTAGAGCCCGAGAGAACCCTACCTGGGGTCACAGAGTCTGGAGGGGGAGGCAGAATTGTACTCTGGGTGATTGAATCCTGCCTCCTCTATTATGTGGTCTTAAGCTAATGATATGGCCTCTCTAAGCCTCAGCGTTCTCATCTATCAGATAGGAATAATGAAAATGCATTAACCCTGGCTGAGGGCTTGCTCTATGCTAGGCACTATGCTAAATGCTCCATTTGCCTTATTTCCTCTACACTTCATGTCAGTGCTTTTTTAAAAAATCCCTATTCTCCAGGGACACAGAGAAAATCATTTCCCTGGATTAAAGTAGAGCTCAGAGCTGCTGCACCCAGGCCATAACACTTCTGCTGCGGAGTTCTCCAATGTGCCCTTGTGGGATGGGTGCTGAGAGTTCTAACGTTAGGTAGCGCATTCACCAGCTCCTAAAGGTACTTCCTCTTCAGACCATGCTAACCCTCCTGTACTGTGTGCTCTGCAGAGGTGGAAGCCAAGGGAGACACAGACAGGCTCACACCCGAGGTACTGAAGGGCCTGGTAAACAAGCTGGAGCTGATGGAGCTGACAGAGCGCCTTACCCCAGACCAGACGGTGGGGTTCTGGATGCCTGAGTCAGAGATGGAGGCATTGGAACTTGAACTGGGTGCCGGAGTGCGGCTGAAAACTCGGGGTGATGGCCCCTTCATAGGTGAGCAGTGTGCCCTCACTTTGCCTGTTCCTGTAGCCTATAGAGGATCCTTACCTCCTTTCTGAGGTTTCCCATCACTCTTGCTTAGAGCTATGGGAGAAGACCAGGTCTGTCTCCCACAGGAACCTGACCTGCCCCTTCACATTTACCCCTCAGTCCTTGGCTAAGTGCCCTTGGGGCCAGTAGCCTGGACACTACTACCCAATCTCGGTTCCTGTGGCTGACCCCTGCTGTCTAGTGCTTTGGGGTCAGTGACCTCAGTGACCATACCAGGGAACAGAGTCAACCCAGACTTAGAGTATCCCCCCCTAAGTGGATGGGCCTAGGCCCTTAGCTTTTCTGCCACAGAGAGGACATTCAACTTCTTCTTTCAGATTCATTAGCTAAATTGGAACTGGGGACAGTGACCAAGTGTAATTTTGCTGGTGATAGAAAGACAGGGGCATCCTGGACTGACAACATCATGGCTCAGAAGTCTTCAGCAGGGACCACAGCAGAGATCCGAGAGCAAGGAGATGGGGCAGAGGATGAGGAATGGGTAGGTAAAGGAGATGGCTGTGGACCTGGCATTGTTGCTGTTGTGTCTCTTGGTGGGAATTTTGTACATATAGGCTGTGGATGAGGTAGAATGAACAGAAGACAAGATAAATTCTGTGGAATTCCTGGGAATGAGCTAGTGTCAGGGGAATTCCTTCAAGGAATTAATGAAAGGGGACAGCCCGAGATGTTTCTTGTTAGAGGACTGGAACTATTGCTATGCACACCAAGCCCCAGAAGGTAGGAAGGAATCAGTGACTGTCATTAGATTTCAGAATGTTTCTCTTCAAGTGAATTAATTAGCCACAGAAAGGCCTTTGAGGGAGGAATGCTTTTCCTCCTTGGTCTGGACTCTGAAGTGCAGGGAAGTGGCAACAACTAGTCTCACTGTTTCTTGTGTTAAGGGTCAACACCCTGGTTGATCCCCAGCCTATACTTACAGTAGTTTTTCTGAAATGTATTTGACCAGAAGATTTTAACTGATATATCAAAAGCCTCCAAACAGAACATTTAGAGCAAAGAAGTCACAGAAAAATGGGGTCTTCTGGGGGCAGGAGAGATGACTCAATGGTTAAGAACACTGGCTGTTCTTGCATAAGACCCAGATTCGAATCCCAGCACCCACATGGCGGCTAACAATTGTCCATAACTCCGGTTCCAGGGGATCCGAAGGCCTCTTCTGTCCTCCTTGGGCATTGCACGACAAGCATGTACTTACCTACATGCAAGCAATACACGCATACACATAAAATAAAATAAAGAATAAAATATTTAAAAAAAGAAAGAAAAATGGGGTCTTCATCTCAGTGATGGAGATTTTCACCAAAGAAAGCCAGGGAGGGAAGGTGGAGGGCCTTGACTCCCTTCTGTCTTAATAAAGCTAGCTGACAAACAGTGGAATTGCTGGGCTGGCTCTGGGAACAACTCTAATGACGTGAGGCCAAGGCAGTAGCTGAGGCTCCCATGGGTACCACATGATCAGACCCTTGCTTGTCTAAAGACTGACAGAAGACTTATGAAATATGCTCTGCTCATATCTCTTTACTTGTCCCCTTTGCATATCTCCAGGATGACTGAGGTGACTCCTCATCCCATCTGTATCTGCTATGGCTTTGTTGAGAACTGGCCTCACCGACTTCCACCCTGGAGAGAGCAGTCTGTCAACCTGAATACCATTTAAAACACTATACTAAAGTTAAATCCAAGACACAACATGTGTTCTTCTTTGGATTCAAGTCTAGTCTTTCCAGACATTTCCCCAACGCCTCTTGCCCTCGGTGGCAGCCTCGTACTAGCTGAGTCTCTCGTGGGACTTGGTCCTGGTACACAATTGAGGAATTCCTGTCTGAATGCAGGGGGGCTCTGAGGCTTCTGTCTCTGTTATTGCTGTTTCCTCCTTTCCTTCCATTCCACAGCACACCAAGGCCTCTGTTCCCTGTTCTGTTGTAGTCTTCTTATCTGTTCTTCCCCACCCCACACCAGAATTACTAATTCTTAATTTGTCTTCTGCTTTATGTCCCCTCTGGGATTTCCTGCCTTCAGACATCCCTGGCTGTTCTTCTGGTATATGCTGTTCTCAGAGAGGCCAATAGCTTTCCTAGCTGTATCTAGCTGGTCCACAGGTCTCAGGTTTGTTCCACTGGGCCACACTTGTTTATGGTGTTGGGAATCAAATCCACAGCTTCATGCTTGCTACGCAAGTGACCTACCACAGCCTATACCCTCAGCCCCCTGGGCCACATTTTTGGTACCATCTCTTTTATTGCTGTTTTATACTTTGAGAATGAATAAATCTGCAAGAAAAAATTCCCCCACACTAACTGGGTTCTTGTCAAGTGTTAATGATCTTCAGCCAAGTCTTGGTCCTAGAAGACAGAGCCTTCAGTCTTTGGTCATGAACATTGCTTTGTTGGATAATGTGTCCACACTCAGCTCTGGGAAAAGGTCTAGACAGGAAATCTGCATGCCCTAGGTTTAATTCTATATTGCCATGGCAGGTGACCTGGGGGAAGGGGATGGAGGGAGGTAGTGATTACTCAGTCTTTTTAATGCATCAAACAATGCCAGTTGCTTTCCATGACCATGGACAATACTGAGTTCTTCCTGATGCTAGTACTTATGCTCAGTACTTGGGGTAGCTTGTCACAACAATCTCATGAAGTAAATATGATTGGTATCCCCATTTTTTTCACAGGTTAAAGCTCTGAGGCTCTATGGATGGTATATACTGCCAGAGAGAGGAATTTAAATTCAGACAGTCAATTTCAAAGCCCACTTTTTTTGTTTTTTTTTGAGACGGTGTCTCACTGTGTAGCCCTGGCTGGCCTGGAACTCTATGCAGATCAGTCTGGCCTTGAACTCACAGTGATCTGCCTGCCTCCACCTCCCAAGTACTAGGATTTATGACGTGATAACCATGCCTGGCTCACATTTTTTTTTTTTTTCCCAGCAAGGTCTCATGTATCTTAGGCTGGCCTTGAACTCATTATGTAGCCAAGGATAACCCAGACCTTCTGATTTCCTCCACCTTCCCAGTGCTAATAATGATAAGGGTGCACCACCATGCCTGACTTTTGTGGTGCTGGAGATCAAACCCAGGCCTCAGGTATGCTAGGCAAACACTCTACCAACTGAGCTGCATTCCCAGTCCTCAAAGGCCACAGTCTTAATTAACGGGACTTTTCTGTTTTTGCATGCAAATGACAGAGGAGAGAGGCGTTCAGAGAGGTCAGGCAACTCTCCCAGATCATAAGTGGCAGATCCAGGATTCAAATCCAGAGCTGCAAAGGCAAAGCTTATGTCCCTTCCACTGTCCTCTGTTTCCTTGGTTTACAAAGGGTTTGGGGGTACAAGAGCCAAAGGATGGAGTAAACACCTCACTAGTGTCCTAGATCTGGGCTGGCTTACTTACAGGTCATACTGAGGCCTTAGCTTTGAGGGTAGTCAAGGAGGTGGTTGAGCATAACAGGAGCTGGGGACATTAGAGGCATCTTGTTGCCCAAAGCACTATGACAGACTCCCAAGTAGGCCATTATTTCAAATGAGGCCCACTGTGGCAATGTCCTGATACAACAGAAAGGGCTTTGGGACTTGGAGGGATTCGAGAAAGGCAAGGCCACTGTGAGCTCAGAGGGTAGGGTAGGGTGGGAGGTGTGTTTGCATACTGGGCATGGCTTTTCTAATATATTTTTATTTTATGTGTATGAGTGTATTGCCTGCATGTATGTGACTGCACCCATGTAGTGCAATGCCATGGTCAGAAGAGGGTTTCAGATTCCCCTGGAAGTGGAATTAAGGACAGTTCGTAGCCACCATGTGGGTGCTGGGAATCGAATCTGGGTCCTCTGCAAGAGCAGTTGTGCTCTTAACCACTAAGCCATCTTTCCAGCCCCATGGGCATGGCTTTTTCATACTCTTTAAAACTTTGAGTACTTTATCCTCAGTGACCTAAAAGCTAGTGATCCTGTGGAGAGATGAGGTCTGACTCGTCTGTTTCAAAGCTCACTTGGCTACAGGAAAACAGACCAGTGAGCTCCTAGAGGAGTCTACAGCAACTGTCCAGGTGAGAGGTTGGTGTGGTTTTGTCTACAACAGGGACAGGAAAGATGGAGAGAAGAAAAGGGCTCAGGCTCAGAGGCATTTACAGGTCAGAATCAACAGACCCCAAGAGAAAGGAAAGAGTCAAGATGATATCCAGACTCTGGGTGACTGAAGGTGTTGGGGTGTATAAAGTTTTGAGTGACCTGTTTGTCTAGCAGGCACCTTGCCTGTGGCTAGGCTGAAACTAGTCTCAGGGAAGGGAAAACCAAGTATACTGTAGATAGAATAGGATTCCAAAGTCAGGCCTGGTAGCTCATGCCTGTAATCCCAGCCCTTGGGAGGCAGAGACAGGAGAGGCTTGCCAAGAGTTTGAGACTAGCCTGGACTGTCAAAACTAAAGATCTGAGTTGAAACCCTGGAAAGAGAGAATCAACTCCGGCAGGGTGTTCTCTGACCTTGATACTTACATGCACTATGGCACACAGGGCCTGGACACAATAATAAATGAAAAAAACCAAAGGATTTGAGGCTTAGCAGGTAGGGAAACTAAGACAAAATCCTCTTCCCAGGACAATAGGAGAAGATGGAAAGATGCTTGGCTCATAGCTATGTGGAGTCATCTGGGTACCCACAATTTTACTCTATCTGTTAATGATTTTTAGTATCTTGGTTTTAAATATGTCTACACATAAAATTTATTGTTACTGCCAGGCATGGTGGCCCACGCCTTTAATCCCAGCGTGAAAGTCCAAGGCAGGCAGATCTCTGTGAGTTCAAGGCCAGTCTGGTCTACACAGTGAGTTCTAGGTCAGCTGGGGCTACAGGGAGACCCTGTCTCAAAAAAAGACAAAATAATTCAATGTTACTTTTACCATTAGTATTACATAATCAGTGTCAATACACATAGTCTGCATCATTTAAAACATTTTTTTAATTAAAAAAATAATTCTTCAAAAAAAATTTTTTTTTTTTTTTTTGAGCAGGGTTTGGTGGCTCATGCCTTTAATCCAAGCACTCAGGAGGCAGAGGCAGGCAGAGCTTTTTGAGTCCAAGGCCAGCCTAATCTACATAGGGAGTTCCAAGCCAGTTGGCATTACAAGGGAGACCCTGTTTCAAAAAAAAAAAAATTCTTTTTTTTCGGTCTTCTCACTATTAACCAGGCTGGGCTCCATCTCTCAGAGATCTGCTATCTGCCTGCCTCTGCTTCTCTAGTGCTGGTACCAGGCCTGGCAGTCTTTATCATTTTTAAGATTGACTGCTGTTTGGGGCTGGAGAGATGGCTCAGTGGTTAAGAACACTAACTGTTCTTACAGAAGACCCGGGTTCAAGTCCCAGCACCCACATGGCAGCTAACAGCTGTCTATAACTCCAGTCCCAGGGGATCCAACAGCCTCTTCTGACCTCCTCGGGCACTGCACAACACGGGTGCACTTACCTACATGCAGGCAATACAAGCATACACATAAAATAAAAATAAAAATAAATAAAATTAAAAATGTGAAAACCAGCCAGGCATGGTGGCATACACCTTTAATCCCAGCACTTGGGAGGCAGAGACAGGCGGATCTCTGTGAGTTCCAGGCCAGCTGGGGCTACTGGGAGACTCTGTCTCAAAAAGACCAAAAACAAACAAACAAAAAAACCAATTAAGGTCCATAATATGACTCAGCAGGTAAAAGGCACTTGCCACCAAGCCTGATGACCTGAGTTGGATCCCAGACTCATATGGCATATGGAGAGAACTAACTCCCAAAGCTGTCTTCCAACTTCCACATATAAACCATGGCATGTCCATGTATCTCCCTTCCACATAAACATATAAATGTAATTCTAAAAAAATTAATGCTGGGTGTGGTGGTGCATGCCTTTAATTCCAGCACTTGGGGGGCAGAGGCAGGTGGATCTCTGAGAGGTCAAGGCCAGCCTGGTCTAGATATTGAGTTCTAGGCCCCCTCTGACTACAGGGAGACCCTGTCTAAAAAAAATACCCTCCCAAATTACAGTTCAAATCATCCTAATATGTTTAATTAGTTGGCAAAACTAGTTCTTTCTCATCAGTGTTTTAGAATTTTCTTTGATATTCCTGCCCAACATTTGAATCATTTTGTTAAGTTTCAGCGCAAATACCTTTTGGCTTTTTATTTATTAAAAAACTCTGGCTATAAAGGCAATATATGTTCACTGAAGAAAAACAATCTAGATTCCCACTACCCAAAGATGTTTTTAAAATCACTCTTGTAATTCTCAGTTATGTGCCATGCACTGTTTGGATTTTTTTTTTAAGCAACTATCTGGAGTGAGGAGAATCATTTTCCATTTTTCTAGTTAAGGAAACAGATATTGTGTCTCTTCTACAAATAAGAACACTTGCCAAAGTGCCCAGGCACTCCATAAAGCCATAATTTGAAACAAGACTTCATTCCCGGGTCCTGTGCTGCACACAGTGATGCAACCGTTCCATAAGATACAATCATCATTCATAGTTCAGTGTTTACTTTCAGTCTTGTTCAAAGTGAACTTTACAGAATAAACACTCTGTGTAAGGGGCTGGAGAGATGGCTCAGCTGTGGTTAAGAGCTTTGGCTGCTCTTACAGAGAACCCAGGTTTGGTTCTCAGCACCCACATAGCAGCTCACAACCATCCTGACTCCAGTTACAGAGGATCTAGTGCTCTCTTCTGTCTACCACAGGCATTGCATGCATGGGTGCACTTACATGCATGTAAAACACTCATACATGTACAATAAAAATAAACGCATCAAAATAAAAAAAAATCCCACTCTATAATCTTTTCATTTAACAAATCATGAACATTTCCCTAAATCAATTAAATCTTTCATGGAATGAGTTTTAACTATTTTGTATTTCTCATATACTTGTAGAACAATTCATTGAACCAGTCTCTCCCCCTTCCCTCCATCCCTCCATCTCTCTCTCTCCCCACTCCCTCCTTCCTTCTCCTCCTCCTCTCCCCTTCCGCCTCTTCCTTCCCTCTCCTTCTGCATCTTCACCCACCCCCATATCCCCACCCCGGCCCCAAAGACTTAACTGTATCCCAAGCTCCTCTCAAACACCCAACAATCCTCTTGCTTCAGCCACCCACGTACTGGCACCATGTCCAGCTGTTTCTCACGTTGGAGTAATTTGTTTCCCATGGAGTAATTTCCCCCCTGTAATAACACTGCTGGTGTGTACACGCCTATAGCCGCAATCACTTTATTATAAATTCTAGAGCTGAACCCCCCAAGGCTAATGTTTTATGTGTCATATAGCTTAAAGCTTTCATGAACACTGCTGCACAGTCCCTGAAATAAGTCTGCAGCTTTACAGATACCTTCGCCGCAGCGCATACACTTGCCGCGCACCTTGCCCACATCACATCGTTAAAAGAGAGAACAAAAACAAGGGTGTTTCCAGTTTGGGATCATCGGTTCCTTCTAAATGGAACTGTAAGAAAGATCCTTTGATTCCCTCTTTCATATGCAAGGGGAGACTTTTGCCTAATTCACAGCAGTATCATAATACTGAAAAATAAAAATGAACTCAAGAGCTTGCTGGTCGAGGAGCAGTCCAATAAACAGTCCAATAAACCGCGGGCGTTAGAAGGGCGGCAAGGGGCGACACAAGCTCCCGCGGCCCCCGCAAGTAGGCGCGGCTGCGGGTGTTGCTGCCCGGGATCCGGGTAGCGGACGCTACAGGCGCTGCGCTGGGCTCAGAGGCTGGCCTCAGACCGAGACTCACGTCCTGGACGAACCGCGGCCGGCGACGCTCCTCGGCGACTACACACAACGGTCCTTCCCGGGGCAGCCCGCTGCCCTCTCCTGGGCGTCAGAGAGACTGGAACCTTCGGTGCCCGGAACCCCAAGCACCTCGGCTAAGTTTCTGGGAGCGGATTTCAGATGGCGCCAACCGGAAGTTCCCGTGTTGTGGCGGAAGGAGGTGCTTTCTGGGAGCAGCAGGTGCTGACTGAAGTCGGGCCGGCAGAGATGATTCAGGCGATTCTGGTTTTCAACAACCATGGGAAACCGCGGCTGGTCCGCTTCTACCAGCGTTTCGTGAGTGCGGCTCGGCTCGCCACCCTCCTGCGGAGCACCCGCGTCTTTCCCCTCCCCTCGGCCCGCAGCAGCGCTCGCCAGCACCTCGGGCTCGGGCACCGTGCATGACCCGGGGCCACTCAGCGCCCTTCCCCGCACGCGCCGCTGCCCCGCTCCTCTCACCCCATTCTGGGTCCCAGCTTCCCTGTACTGTTTGTGACACTTCCCCTTGGGTCTCAGGGCCAGATACGTTACATAGTGTTCCTCATTGAGAACTTGGTTGTTAGAAGTCACTTTCTTTAAGCTTTTTTGGTTGATGAGCTCAGTTTCGCGTAGAGAGACGTTCTGTTTGCACTTCTTGTTTCCCCCAGGGCGTCTGGAAATGTTCTTTCCGGGAATTACTTGTTTCAGTGGAACGTCACAGGGATGGGATACTAGTCAGTCTGTAGGGTTACGGAAAGTCCCTTTTGAAAGAATGGTCTGAAGAGCACTTGCTCTTGCAGAGGATCTGAGTTCGGTTCCCGGCATCTATGTCAGGCAGCTCATAACTTAATCTGACACCCTCTTCTGGGCTCCCGCACACACACACACACGAGAGGCACATATATAAAAATAATAAAAATACACTTAAAAGTGGGAAAAAGTGAGAAATTACAAGCTGCCGGATGTGGTGGTCCATTCCTATAATCCAGCACTCTGGTGGAGGCAGGAGGAGCAGGCGTTCAGAGCTAGCCTCAGCTGCACAGCTAGTTCAAAGTCAGCTTCAGCTATGAGATCACGTCTCAAGAATTTAACAGATGCTGCCGCGGAAGGGCTCAGTAAACATTCATAAGAATTTGGATTTTGCAGAAACATTTCCTTTGGAAAAACACAAACTTAATTACTTGCCTCCTGCCCCCCAACATTTTATTCATGGCTGGATTTCAAAATACATAACAGACTAGTTAAATCTGAGAGGGAATGGATTCGGAAAATATCCTCGGACTTCAGCACCGCCTTTATTATTCTTGTGTGAATTGGCAAATTAATAAACTTCTTTCAGACTTTTATTTCTTTTTTCTTCAGAAATGAAAGAATATTTTGATTACGAATTCTCTTCATAAGATTTTCAAAGCCTAAGATTACATCGAAGTAAAAATATTTAATATAATTTTGTGTGTGCATTTGTTTCTCCTATTTTTCTGTTACCGAGATATAAATCACTGTACAGCTTACTTGACATAAAAAAATTTAGTGGGTGCTGTCACAGTTTCAGAACATTTTCATCACCCACCAAAGAAATTCATCACTATTAGTAAACAACTCCCCTGGTCCTAGACAACATTTATCTACTTCCTCTTTAAAAGTTTTGGACGTTTTATAATGTTGTAGCAGGATCAAATCATGTGGCCCAGGTTGGCCTGGGACTTGAGGTCCTTCTGCTTAGCTGGACATGGTGGCACAGGCCTAATCCTAGCATTTGGGAAACTGAGACAGGAGGATTGTGAGTTCAAGGTCAATCTGGGCTACTCTGTGAAGACTGTCAAAAGAAAGCAAAGACAAACAACAACAAAAAAGCCAGAAGAAATCGTTCTACCACAGCCTCCCAGATGCTGGGATTACAGGCATGTGCCACTGTCCTTTTTTTTGGGGGGGTGGTTTTTTTGAGGCAGGGTCTTCCTGTAGTCCCAGCTGGCCTGGAACTAGCTATGTAGACCTGGCTGGCCTCGAACTCACAGAGATCTGCCAGCTTCTGCCTCCCAAGTGCTGGGATTAAAGGCTCGTGTATGTGTGTGTGTGTATGTGTGTGTGTGTGTGTGTGTGTGTGTGTGTTTTGTTTTTTTTATTTTTTTTTTTTGGTCTTTTTGAGACAGGGTCTCACTGTAGTCCTAGCTGGCCTGAAACTCCCTATGTAGACCAGGCTAGCATTGAACTCAGAGATCTGCCTGCCTCTGCATCCTGAGTGCTGGGATTAAAGGCATGTGCCACCACACCTGGCATATTTTTATGTTCTATCAATTGATATGTCTACTTTTTGGCTCTTGTGAATATTTTTTTGGTCTTTTTGAGACAGGGTCTCACTGTAGTCCTAGCTGGCCTGAAACTCCCTATGTAGACCAGGCTAGCATTGAACTCAGAGATCTGCCTGCCTCTGCATCCTGAGTGCTGGGATTAAAGGCATGTGCCACCACACCTGGCATATTTTTATGTTCTATCAATTGATATGTCTACTTTTTGGCTCTTGTGAATAATGCTGCTGTGAACCTTCTTGTGTTAAGTTTTATTGTAGATATGTTTTCATTTCCCTTGACTTTATATGAATTTTTAATTTTTTTTCTGAATTGGGGAGTGCATCTAGGGTCTCATTTATTCCAGACAAGCGCTCTACCACTGAGCTGTATAATTCTAGCCCCATTGTTTTTAATTATAGGCATTTTAGTGGGTGAAAAATGGATCTTTTAAAAGGTTTTGACTTCTATTTCCATAGTGACTCTAAGGATGCTGTGTTGAGCATCTGTCTTTTTTCTTTTCTTTTTTTTTTTTTTTTTTTTTTTTTTTGGTCTTTTTGAGATAGGGTCTCCCTGTAGCCCCAGCTGGTCTGGCCTGGAAAACTGGCCTCGAACTTCCACCTGCCTCCGCCTCCCAAGTGCTGGGATTAAAGGCATGCACCTCCACACTTGGCCACATCTGTCTTTTCTTGTGCTTATTGGGCATATATCTCGGAGATCATAGAATTGTTTAAGAACTTCATGAGTGAAAGTCCCTTGAAAACTGCAGAGTACTAACAGATATGAGGGGTTAAAATAGCTGGGGCCTGGGCCAGTTGTGGTGGAATGTGTCTTTAATCTTAGCACTTGGGAGGCAGAGGCAAGTGGATCATTGTGAGTTGGAGGCCAGTTTAGTCTACATAGGGAGTGTTGAAAAAACCAAAAAATTGGGTCATATAAGCAACTATTTGGCTTCACTGTTTCATACCACATCCCCTTTTGCTACTTCCTCCTGTAGTCAGATAAAGGGCTTTAGTTCAAAAGGTGCTTTTGTCAGTTTAAAAATGTGCTGATGCTTTGTGTGCTTTGCGTTTCTGAGCATGCAGAGTTAATCTTTAACAACATCCTGGCATCTGTGAGCTTGGTGTGTTATTCATCTGGGAATCAGGAAGACACTGATTGATTTGCTCCAATTTGTGGATCAATGATTATACATTCAGTAGGTACTGAGAGTCATTCTAGACCCACACTGAGTCAGCCATTTTCTCTCAATGATTAGTTCTCTGAGTGCCCCCCGACCTTTAGCTTTTAAATAACTGACCATTACAAACCTAAGTCAGTGGTATAGAAAGAAAAAGATGTAAATTATTTGAATGTATTTTCTAACTTAAGGAAAATTCAAGTTGAAAGTTTTCTTATATTGTGCCCCCCTGACCTGCAGCATTGATAGCCCATGGGAGCTTATTAGAACAGCAGTCTTTGGATCTAACCCAAACATGCTAAATAAGAATCTACATTTAAATGACATCTCCAGCTCATTAAGACTGATCTAGAGTTTTTTTTTTTTTTTTTGGTTTTTTCAAATTTTTTGGTCTTTTCAAGACAGGGTTTCCCTGTAGCCCCAGCTGTCCTGGAACTCACTATGTAGACCAGACTGGCCTTGAACTCATAGAGATCTGCCTGCCTCTGCCTCCCGGGTGCTGGGATTAAAGGCATGTGCCACCATGCCCAGCTGACCTAGAGTTTTTAACTGCCTACTGTCTGTCTGGTTTCTCCCTCTTATCTTTAATTTATTTTATTTTATCTGTTACTTTTATTTTTTGCATATGAGTATATTACCTGAATGCATGTAAGTGCACCTGTGTCATGGAGTGCCCTCAGAGGTCAAAAGAGGGTTTCGGATCCCCTGGAATTGGAGTTACAGATGATGGTTAACCTCCACGTGATGGCTGGGAACTGAACCCAGGTCCTCTGCAAGAACAACCAGTATTTTTAACCACTGAGCCATCTCTCCAACCCCATTATTAATTTTTTAAAATCTCCAGGCTGTTGTCCAACTTACTGTGCACCTGAGGCTGGCCTTGAACTCCTCCTAGTCCCTGGTATCCACTTCTCTCTTCTCTCCTCTCCTCCCTTTCCTTCCCCTCCCCCGATTTGTTTTGTTGAGATAGGGGCTCTCTCTAGCTCAGACTGGTCTGGAACTCGACGTATAGCCCAGGCTGTCCTTTAACTTGGCAGCAATCCTGTCTCAGCCTCCAGAGAACTAGGATTATAGGAATAAGCCACCATGCATGGCTTTTGAAAAGAAATTTATGCCATACCTCTATGAAACTCATAAGTGGAAATCAAATATGATTTTGATAATGGTTCATTCACAGTTGAGCTTTCTCAGGATTATAGTGATTATTAAGTGAAAAAATTACTTGTTCAATTGTCCAAAATTCTAATCTGTAAAGACATTTCTATTTTTCTCAGTAACCCTTTGTTGGTGAGTAGTAATATAGCATCTTATATGTGGTACCTCCATCATAGTAAAAAGATGACATTAGTTTTTAGAGATTTGCACAAGATAACATCTTGTCCTTCAAACTGTTGAGATTTGTTATTTGCCAGGCATAGATGTTTCTCAGGAAAAAAAAAATACTTGAGAATCAGATATTCTTTGATTTTGTATGACAGTTTATTTCGCCTTCTCTGTGTAAGTCTCAGCTTACCTGTAGAAGGGATGGTTAGTGAGCAAGATGTGTAGGTAAATATGTCCTGTCTTAATTCTTCTTCATGTTCTTACCACTTTATCTTTTCCAGTTGTTTCCAGTTTGGAACCCCTCAATGTTCATCCCCACCAATGGATGTTCTTTTTCTGACTTGCCCACTGACTCCCCTTTTTTGTTGTCCCATAGCCAGAAGAAATTCAACAGCAGATTGTTCGAGAGACTTTCCATCTGGTTCTCAAGCGAGATGATAACATCTGTAACTTCTTGGAAGGTGGAAGGTAAATGTCAGCTTCAACCTCCACACCATCCCTGCCCCACTCCAGCCCCACCCCGAACTCACCCGACCCCCAGCTCCACTTTCTGTGGCCTTCATTGTTATTGCTGCTTCCTGTGCACTCAAGTGTCAGGCTACCAGGTGCAGCTTGAGCTGGTCTTAGCTGGATCTGCTCTGGGAGACACCCAGATCTCTTTAGGAAATGCTTGTATTATGTGGCCTCAGTGTCACTCAGCTCAGATGTTTAGCCGTGAGAGCACTGGCAGGAGAAAAGGTAAAGTAAAGTGGCTTTAAGTTCCTCTGCCAAACTTAGTTGCCATTCATTCAGTAGAAATGGCCTGTTTGAAGTGCTCCACCTTCCTCTTCTCTGTTAGTCCCATTCTCATTTCTTGGTACAGGTGTTTCTCTCTCTCGCCCTTGCTCTCTCGCTCTCTCTCTCTTGTCTTTTTGAGATAGGTTTCTCTGTAGTCCCATCTGGCCTGGAACTTGCTTTGTAGACCAGACTAGCCTTGAACTCATAGGCATTGACCTGCCTCCACCTCCCAAGTGCTGGGATTAAAGGTGTGCACCACCATACCTGCTAGGGGTTCTCTTTAATATGTTTAAGATGCAGACACTTAAATGTTTGTTGTCTTCCACAGTTTGATTGGTGGCTCTGACTACAAACTGATTTACCGGCACTATGCTACCCTCTACTTTGTATTTTGTGTGGATTCATCAGAGAGTGAGCTTGGGATCTTGGACCTCATCCAGGTATGTGTAGTCAGTGAATGATGGCAGCTGCTTTGGAGTTTTCTTGGGGTTTTGAGTAACCAACCTTTGGATCCTTTTCTCAGTCTCCTTGTTGAAACTGATAGCAGTTGCCAGATGTCCACCAGATGGTGCTCTGAGAAAGCTCCTGAGCAACCCTCTGAGACTCAGCTGTTGGGTATTGGTTTCTACTAGCCAGAATAGCCCTTGGCTTTTGTTTTGAATTTTCTTTCAGTTCTCAAACCAAATGACATTTAAATTTGTACTTTATGTGTGTAGGATGTATGCCCTTGTTTGTGCATATGGAGGTCTGAGGTTGACATTGGGTGCCTGCCTCAATTGCTTTCTACCTTAATTTTTTAATTTTAATTAATTGATCGATCAATCAATCAATTAATTAATTTACAAACAGGGTTCACCTGTAGCCCCAGATGGCCTGGAACTTGGTATGTAAACCAGGCTGATCTCACAGAGGTCTGCCTGCCTCTGCCTCTGGAGTGCTGGGATTAAAGGTGTACTCCACCGAGCCTAGCTTCCGCCTTACTTTTTGAAATAGTCTTTCACTGAATCTAGAGCTGTAGATTCAACGAGACTAGTTGGCCAACAAGCCCCAGGAATCCTCTTATCTCAACCTCCCCAATGCTGGGATTTGCTGCACCAGGCTTATTTATGTGGGTCCTTAGGGATCAAACTTAGGTCCTCATATTTGTGCTTCAAACACTTTACCATCTGAGCCCCCCTAAGCATTTTTACTTTTTATTTTCTCTTATAGCCATACAATGAAACTTGGTACTTTAGTCTATGTAATCTTGGCATACATAAATATGATTTTTGTTAGACTTTAACCTGCCCCCATGTAACAGATTACAGTCAAAATACAGGTGTACCAAAAATAGTGTATAAAATTACTTTTTATAACTTGGCTTTCCTGGGTTTCAGAGTGAGTTTGAGGCCAGCCTGGGCAGCTTAGTCAGACCCTATCTCAAATAAAAAGTGAAAAGAGGGATGGGCTATAGCTCAGTGGTAGAGCACTTGTGTGACGTGCAAGGCCCTAGGTTCAATCTCCAGTACCACAAAAATAAAACAACAAAAAAACCCCTCTTTCCTACTATGTTTATATAAGGTATCCATGAAACATAAAAGAATTTTGTGTTTCAACTTGGGTCCTGTGCCCAGAACATATATGTGCAGCTATTCCTAAATTTGAAACAAAAAAGTTCCATGTCTGAAATTCTTCTGGTCACAAGCATTTTAGATATGGGATCCTCATCCTGTGTTGTGATCAAATAGTGTTTATCCCAAGAATACAAATTGTTTGAAAAAAAATTTTTTTTAAACTATTACAGCATGCCATGCATGATGGCACACCCTGTTAATCCCCAAACTCAAGGAGCAGAAGTAGATCTTGGTGAGATCAAGGCCAGCCTGGTCTACATAGTGAATTCCAAGCCATCTGGGGCTACAGGGAGACCCTGTCTCAAAAGACAAACAAAAAAACCTTACAGCCTGCCAGGCATGTTGACACATGTCTGCAGTCCTCAGCACTTGAGGCTGAGGCTAGAGGCTCACAAGTTCAAAGGCAGCCTGAACTATATTGTGAAACCCTGTCTCAAAAAACAACAGGGGCGCTGGGAGATGGCTCAGTTGTTAAGAGCACTGGCTACTCTTGCAGAGGACCTGGTTTGGTTCCCAGCACTCATGTGGTGGCTAACAACTGTTTGTAACTCCAGTCCTGGGTAATCCAGTGCCCTCTTCTGGCCTGTGTGAGCATTGCATTTACATATATGCAGGCAAAACATTCATACACATAAAAATATATAAGTAAATTTTTTTTAAAAAAGCAGAACAGGGACTGTGATAAGGGGCTTGGATAACTAAGTCAGTAAAGTGCTTGTCTTGCAGGCATGAGGACTTGAATTCAATATCCAGAACCCATGTTAAAAAAGCCAGGTATGGTGGCTATTCTTACAGTATGAGCACTAGTGAGGCAGAGATAGTCAAATCCTTAGAGCTTGATGGCCAACCAGTTAGCCTGCTAAATGAGTTCTAGGCCGGTTAAAAATCCTCTCTCGGGGCTGGAGAGATGGCTCAGCGGTTAAGAACACTAGTTGTTCTTGCAGAAGACCCGGGTTCAAATCCCAGCACCCACATGGCAGCTAACAATTGTCCGTAACTCCAGTCCCAGGGGATCCAACAGCCTTTTCTGACCTCCGTGGACATTGCGTGACACGGGTGCACTTACCTGTGTTCAGGCAATACACACATACACATAAACTAAAAATAATAAATAAAATAAAAAAAATCCTGTCTCAAGCCAGGCATGGTGGCGCATGCCTTTAATCCCAGCACTCTGAGTTCAAAGCCAGCCTGGTCTACATAGTGAGTTCAAGACCAGCTGGGGCTACAGGGAGACTTTGTCTCAAATAGACCAAAAAAAAAAAAAATCCTGTCTCACAAAATGGTATATGGCATCTGAGGAGTAACACCTAAGTTGTCTTCTGACCTCTATGCTCAGGTGTACACCTGTGCACGAACACTTGCATACACATATGCACCCATATACATATGAGCAAACACACATGTATACACATACACAGAAGTAAAACCCCTAGAAACTATTATAGCAGTAAGACAAATTTATGTAATTGCCTAGTTGGATGATGAGAAAAACAATTATCCAAATTATATTCCTAATAATCATCTTAAGTTGGAAGAAGAAACATGTTTATTTGAGTACAAATATATAATGTATTTGGTATCAGTTATTTTTAAAGAAATAATGTGTGTTCCAACTTCTTTGTTTTCTTTGGTCTTTTTGTGATTTTTGCCCCCCAGTCCTGAAGGCTGAGCCCAGGAATTTGCACTTGTTAGGCAGGTGCTCTACCACTGAGTTAAATCTCCAACTGATACTATGTGTTCCAAAGGCACACTGTATGTATACCTCCTGCCCTCTCTCACTAGTTTCAGAAAAGCAGCTAATTTTACTTGCAAAACCAAGAGCCAGTGCTATCTTAGGGAAGAAGTTTAGAGGCACTGATGAAAACAAAAGTATTTCATATTTATTCCAACTTTTAAAATCAAATGAATGATTCAAAAAAAAAATTAAGAAAACTGAAAGCTGAGTATGGTAGTGCTGTAGTCCCAGCCATCGAGGAGGCCAAGGCACGAATTATCACTGCCTTGGGTGCCTTTTGTGAGTCCTTAGTCTTGAAGATAAAATAATTTATAAATAGACTAAAATGAAACTTCATTACAATTTCATTGGAGTCTGAAAGAAAAACAATAGGATAGACAAGCTGGAAATCTCTGCCTCTGCCATAAGGGGGCATGAATCAGAGTAATAAGAAGTCATGACTTTTGGACCTGGGGAGTTTAGATTCCAGAACTCACACCTGTAATCCTGGCATGGCTGCAGAAAGATGGCAGGTAGAGACAGGAGACCCTCTGGAAGCTGTGGGCTAGCTAGTTTGCCGTATGAAGAGAGGAACAACTAGGGTCCCTGTTTCTAACAAGGTGGAAGATGAGGACTAACACCTGAAGTTGTCTTCTTCCACATGACAGTCATGCTTTCTGAGTTGAGAGGTCAAGAAAGCATTGGATTCCCTGTTTCTACAAAAACTACTAGAAAACATAAAAGAAAATATTACATAGTAATTAAGGGTAGTATTTGGAAATTAACTTATAATGGAATGCCTGATGCTGATTCCAATAAATTTACAAAATTGGACCAGATATGGTAGTGCATAACTATTAATCTTAGCACTCTGGGAGACAAGGCAGGAGGATTACTGCTATGTTCAGGGCCAGTCTAGTTTACACGGTGAGTTTCAGCCAGCCAGGACTACCTAGTGAGAACCTGTCTTAAAAAAAAAAAAAAGAAAAACAGGACTGGAGAAATGACTCGGTGGTTAAGAACACTGGCTGTTCTTCCCAGAGGACCTGGGTTCAGTTCCCAGTACCTACATGGTAGCTAACAACTGTCCTTAACTTCAGTTCCAAGGGATCTGATGCCCTCTTCTGAACTCCATGGGTTGATATACGTGCAGGTGAAACAGTCATACACATGATAGGTGATAGGTAGGCAGACAGACAGACAGATAGAAATTTTTAAAAATTTGGGCTGGAGATGGCTCAGCAGTTAAGAACACTGTTCTTGCAGAAGGCCTGGGTTCGAATCCCAGCACCCACGTGGCAGCTAACAACTATTCCAGGGGATCTGACAGCCTCTTCTGTCCTCCATGGCCACTGCATGACATGGGTGCACTTACAAACATGGAGGCAATACACGAATAAACATTAAATAAAAATAAAAAAAAAATTGGCTGGGCATCGTGGTGTATGCCTTTAATCCCAGCACTCAGAAGGCAGAGGCAGATAGACATCTGTGAGATTGAGGCTAGCCGTGTGTGCTGGATAGCTTTAGTGTCAACTTGACACACCTGGGTTGAGGGAGCCTCAGTCGGGGAATTGCCTCTATTGGACTGGCCTGTGGCCATGTCTGAAGGGCATCTTCTTGATGAATGATGTGGGAGGGCCCAGCCCACTGTGGGTGGTGCCACCCCTGGGCAGGTGGGCCTGTGTT